TTTTTTTTTGTTGAAGATGACAGAAGACATTAGAGAAGATCAATTCTATCATCACTGAACAACTACTGTATAAATGATGATTGAAGGGGACATTCCAAAACAGCATGCAAAATATCTACGAATAAAAAATATATACAACTACTAAAGTTCAGGCTTACTGTAATTTGCTTGTAATTAAGTTCAAAGTTCAACTGCATAAGTTGTTAGGTGTGCTTACTGTATGCATATATATATGTATATATATATATAAATATGGTTATGACAAACCAGAAGCGTAAATTGATTCATTGTTATGTAGGGCGTCATACAGTAAACCAGTCAGCAAATCACTTTATACAGTCATTAAAAGATTTCTGATTTTTTGATGTTTTATTCCTCTTCCAATCATTTCTTCTATTCTTCATTTCCTTTTTAAAGCATTTCCAATCCACTTCAATTAATATTTACAATTCCTGAAGCATTCCTTATTGTACTTATCATCAATGGCTATTTGGCTACTTAGCTTTTTTATGAATTCTCTACTCTCTGTAAATAAGTCCTGAACATTCATTGTAGAGAGTTTACTTTTTTAATATTAAATTTGTTATTTATAAATTAAGGATTTCAAATTCATCCATAACTGGTGTCTTCAGGGATATGATTTACATCTTCAGAATTCAGAATTCGTTTTTTTATACATGGCAAAAATGCTGTACACAGAAAATAAATGCAAACCTGAGGATTTTATTATTTACATATTTAGCATGAAAGGGGATAATCATTAAAAATAATTCCAAAAAAAAATGGAGCAACCAAGAAGTATTCACGGGTTATATTAAATAATAATATTTACAGTTACAAAGATAACAATAAAGCTATACATGTCGTTATTTATGAAAAATAATATACAATAGAGTCCATTCATTTTATTTATTATATGAAAATTTGTTTTAAGCGAAAAGAAATTTCATTCGGAAATCCACTACTGAATTAATTCTTCCTCTTTTACCACAGTTCCTGAATATTTTCAAATGTTGACACAACATTTTTATAACTCAGTCACTCCTGAAACTTGCCGATCTACAATAGAAATTTAGCGGCTAAAGTGAAGAGTCATAAGTATCTGAAATATTCACAATATCAAGTTACAACGATGACGCCACAATTAACATTTGAGGACATATTAATCTTTGAATGGTTGGTTTTTTTGAAGGTATTTGAAACTGATCTGTTTTCCTAGAGAATACTGCTGTAGTGGAAAAAGCAAATTTCTAGCGTAAATTGACAAATTATAACAGTGAGGCGACTGTGCAAAATATTTTACAAGAAATCGATAAAAAAAGCGGGAAAGTCAGCATAACAATTCACATCCCCTACCAGCACTGCTGACCTCGCGCCTAGATAATTTTTTTGCCGGCAAAGTTGAATATTTCATAAAACCGCACTCTTTCCAAATTTAATCAAAAAAGGCTAAGCATAAATGAAAAATGTGTTTCACCACATTTTATTCAAATTACCTTTTGGCCGCGGAACAACGGTGGAATGTTGCAGTACCGTAGCAGCTAATTCCTAAAAGAAAAGAGCTCAAGTACATATTGAAGCCTGAAAAGTTCTAATTTAAACTTCAAAATTTCAAGCTGAAGCTTCAATATGCGAACCTTATTTTCCTCTACAATTTTCACTTCGTTAATTGAGCTATTCACTGTTAAACATTTCAGTATTTCAGAATTTCAGAACCAAACAACTACTGTGACGTGAAACACCAGAAAATATAAAGCTTTCATCCAATAACAGTAGGGAAGGAGGCAATGGAATCAAATATAAAAAAAGAATGGAAAAGTTAGTGTGAGTAAAAGACTCGTGAAATTCCAACAAAAAGCATATAAATTTTTTTCCTGAACAAGCAGAACTTTATAAATACTTTCCTATCAATTTCTAATTCTCCCAAAGCATAGGAAAGTTTTCTTCCTATTCGCAGTAATGAATGTAATAAACAGCTGATATCAGGAAACGCATTATGTTTTTATTTATACCAATATCAAGAAAAGAGAAACATAGATTAAACTTTTTCCTGAATAAGCAGGACTTATAAATACATCCCTATCAATTTTTAATTCTTCCAAAGCACAAGGAAGCTTTTCTTTTTACTCAAAATAATGAATGTAATAAACGGTTGTCTAATCTACAAATGATTCAAACGCCAACTAATGAAAAATGGTATGTATATATTCAATGAAAAAAGGTTACCTGACAAAACTGCGACAGTATGATAGCCGCGAAAACAAACTGCTTTGCTCGAGCATGGTCTAATGTTACATCACGACTTTCCATTGCTTTGTGTGTGTAAATACGAAATTCATGTGGATGGGCAGAACCGTTGTTGGGATAGAGGCGCTTACTGCTGAAAGGTCTGAATCTAAAACAGACATTTTATTAGACTTCAACTTCTGCTTAGTGGTTTTTCCGCCACATAGTTCTAGCAAGCTGTTATGACCAAATATCTGAAACTTCAGGTACTCCTGCCAACGTACTGAGGATCGAGAAATTGTTTATAACACAACACATTTAAAGTTCAAGAAGAAAACAGCTGCAACTATTATTACAAACATTCAGACATTTGCTCTGCTAAAAAAGTTGACAACAGCAATGTTGATGTTAGAAAAAACCAAAAAAAAAAAAGAAAAGAAGTCCAGTTCAAAGACAATTTTTAATTACCGATTTAGTAAACCTCTCGATGAATTCGCCCCTTCTCTGTTGCTGTTTCGTGAAAATGAGTCACCGGAAGATCGTAAGTGTAACGTATATTGCCGGCTACTTTCCATGGCCTTCAATATTAAACTTTAAAAAGGAAAGAAAAATTCAGAAATCTTTTCGATAGCAATCAGTGCGACCAATAAAAACGAAAAAACTTACTTTTTCATACCGTTCTGCCCTTGATCGTAGAAATTTGATCCCTCGTTCCAACAAAACATCAAAACCATCTAGTGACGATGCGTATGCATCAATTCGCATCTTCAGTGAATCCATAACCTTAGAAAGAAAAAATAAATTAAAAAACCTGATAAACTCACAAATAAAGTTTTTAAAACTTCCAGAAGAGAAATTTCCCACTCACCTTAAAAAGATTTTTCACATTAGGTTGCAAACGCATGCGTTGATCAAATAGATAATGAGCAATAAGTGGCTGAGGATATGACGCAAGAGCCGCCAATACCGACGTTGTTTGCAGTGTTACATATAACGAATTATCCAGCATATTCTCCAAAGAACGTATTATAGATTCCAAGAACGGTCCAACACCTTTAAAAAACCATCAGAATCAAAAATATATAACCTATGAACAAAAAAAGGAAAAAACTTATCCTGGCTTATATAAAGTTGACTTTTTCATTACGACAGCCTAGCACTTCATCTCCCATTGAATATGCAAAAATTCCCGACATTTTGAAACGCAAAACAACATAATACAATAAGCATGTCAAAGTCGAGTAATCTTAATTAAGCGGTGACTGACAGTGCTGATCAAATAAACGACATAGTCAAACTATATCATTCTTCATGTAGAAAAAATTGACGTTAACAAAGTGGATAATCAATACATGAGCGAAATATGCACTACAGACAGGAAGAAAGATGCGAACTGCATAAACTCCTAAGGAAATATTGTCTTCTTTCTGCTGCTAGGAGAAAGTCAATAAGTTAGATTTGACCAGAACGCTTCGACTCAAAACCTCGAATAATCTAGAACAAGCAAATAAGGATGAATATATTGAAAAATTACCTTGATTTCCGAAACATTCGATCGGTTTTCCTGATGGCGCAGGGTACTCATCGTCATTGTTGTTATTCGTATCACTTTTAAATCCATCACTTTCTGACCGTGATGATTTAGTCTCGGCTTTCAACTCTTCGAGATACTGAATTCGCGAATCGATTAAAGCCAAATTTTCTTCCAAAGAATGCTTTACCTTTGAAGCTGGCACTCTATCCATCAATGCCATAAAGGTATCCATATCCTGAATACATGACTTCGAAAACATTTTAGAACTTCCAAGATGAATGTTCCTTACCTTCCCGAGAATGAATGTACAGAGAAACTTCTCCAGAATAAAAGACGAGTTCAGCATAAGACTAAAAATTTAATTACTAAGACGTACGTCTACTGAATTGTATGTGTCATATAAAATCATAAGCGCCACCAGCAGTTGTTTGAAGAAGCATAAAAAGGTTACAATGAACTCCTATAAGAAGTTTCGAATCAAACCGCACCTCAATTTGCCCCCAACCTCTCAGAACGAATGATCGTGCCATTTCAATATCAGTATCACAATTTGCATTCCTGCTCGCCACACTTCCTTTGTCTGAAACTTTTTGTAGTGGTGCTTCACTTATGTTGATTGTGCTGGGATTGATCGCCTCAGTGTCAGTTTCCGACAATTCTCCATATGCAAATTGAAAATAATCACTCGATGAAGTCATCATCAAAAGTGATTTGGGTCTAAATGGATAGGAGTTCAACCAAACAACAAGCCGAAAAAGTAACCAGTCAAACAAGCATTAAAATTTGCATAACAGAATTTTGAGAAACTAATAACCTGATAATTGGACGATAAATAACGGATAAAAGATCAGTAAATTCTTTAAAATTTTATATAGCAAGAAGATGACATATAACATGAGATTTTGGTAAAACTAACGTTAAAGGTGGTATAATCAGTTCATCGTCTTCATTATCCAGAGCTAGTGATGAATCGGCAATATCGTATGGAAAGCTACTTCTCGATGACGATTCGTGTTCTCCTAGTTCCGGCAGTGGAGTATGTTGACGTAAACTTTCAGCGGTAATGTGAGCATTTCGGCTCACGAAGTATCGATTCAAACCATTCCGCGCTGAGGCCATTGAGGAACGTACTGAAGAATGTCGAACAAAAGCCTAAACAAATTTACTGACAAATAAAAGAAATGAACTAAAGTGAAGAACCGAACCTTGTATAAGAAGACTTGCATATCTAAAGAATAAATTACTCACTCCATTACAATTAGTGATGCTTTCATCATCTGAGTTTAACTTTGGCAGAAGAAGCGGATTACGACCATCATAACTCCAAGCCCATTTTTCACAACAGGCATCCGTAGTTTCTTGCACATAATTTCGACATTCGGTGAGATAAATATGAAGAATTTCTTGGGAGCATAGCTGAAACAATATTTGAAAACAAAAACAATACTTGAAAGAAATTTTTAAAAAGTATATGAGTCTAAGTAAAAACAAAAAGAAAAAACGAGTTGCCACAATCAAAAGAGTGCGAATGTATCTGAAATAAAAATTTAAAAACTTACTGCTGAAGATTTATAAGTACATTCAGGAATAAACGTCAGCAAAGTTCGAGCAGCTGTCCTTACATACTTCTGATTCTTTAAATGAAGCGTTTGATTAGGTTGTAAAAATGTACAAGGTAGAAGATATCTGAAAAAAGTGAACCTTAATAAAGTTAACTGTGAAGTAAGTGTCCGTTGAGAATGTTTCTTCATTTTCTGATCTCCTAAAAATGATGGAATTATAAAGCAAACGAACTGAAACATAATTGCTAAACTGACAGAAAAGAATTGCAGAAAAATAGTATACTTGAAAATGAGATCGAACATGATGTCTTCGCATCGTAAATCAATCAACGTTCTTATCAGCGATAAACTAACTTGGCTAAGCTGGAAAAAATAAGAATATGAAAATAAAAGGAGCCTATTTAATCATATTTCCAAAATGCATTAATACCCGATCTTAATAGAGTTCACAGAGAAAGTTCTTAATTCCAGCGACAGTATGAAAATCCTTACAACTTGATAAGGTTCATTTCGAAGCAAAAAAAAATATATTGCGAAAAAAATAAAATATATTTTCAGTGAAAAACAGATTACTTGTTAATAACCGTGAAGAAAAGACAATTTTCTAATAAGTCCTGCGAAAAAAATTAATTTTCAATATTTACTGAATATCAATAAATGAGAACATAAGCAAATAAAACTCTTTGATAAAAGAAGAAAGTAACTTTATGACAATAAAATAAACCCGGTTTCCAGCGGATATCCTTTCCACGATAACATCAAGCACTTTTTTGTTACTTTCACAACTTTCATTAAGAAGTAATTTTACTATTGCTTGTATAAGCGCTGTCTCAGTGACACTATCCAAACAAAGATGATAATAGGCTGTTGATGAGATAAGCTCATCTTGTCCACCCTGGAAAAATTATTACTCCGAGATAAACTTTTGAAATTACTGCGTTAACAATAAAACAATAAAAGATTACGAATGTGAATAAGCCAGTGTTACGGAATCGAATTTCTGTTCAAAACCGTCCTAGATTTAAAATCTGAGACAGATGGATTGTTAAATTTTTGTTATATGTAGCAAAAATGATACCTGTAACAATGAAGGTAGAACGACAGGAAGTAAAAACCCGTGATAGACGTATGTAATGACCTGTGACACAACATAATCGTGAGCAACCTAGAAACACACTGTTCACAAGATGACTATGAAAATCCATAACATACGTCTCTAATCTTTTGCTCTGGAAAGAATTTCTTCTTTTTGAAGAAACTTTAAAATTTTAGAAATTTCCATTCACATTATAATATCACTAACCTGTATAACTGCATTACAAAAAATCAATGATGAATGGAAATCCAATAAGCTGGAATAAGAATCGATATCATCGGCATTTATCTTATGCCAATCGTCGCTTAGGTATAACACTGAACCAACTGAGCGCGATAATTGGGAAAAGCAACCCGACAGACCTGTTGCAACCACTGGGCAAAAGTTTGACTACAACAGAAAACTTCGCATAAATTTTTGATTTATATAGCGCTAAAGAATCAAGACAAGAAAAATGAAGTGAAGGAAACATTCGAAAATTCTTCAAATAAAACTTGCAGAACGTTAGAATTGTTTTCAGAGAAGTCAAAAAAAATACTAGATTCACTAGCTTTGTTGAACTTTGTTCCTTTTGCTTTATTCAAACGGCGTCACAAACTGAAGTACTATCTGGTAGTCAAATGCAAGTTTTGTGTGTTCGTGCAAATAAGCTCCACATGACCGACAAAACATTCCATTTAATCTATTTAGTCGTTAACATTTCCGAAAATATGCCATTTGACTTCACTTTACTCATCTACATCCATCTTAAGAAAAGTTAATGATGGATTAAAAAGTTCTCGCAAACCTTTACAGCGATAAATGTAGCAATATGTTTCATTCGTCGTGAAACAGAAAGTATCAGAAGTAATGCATCGCGTGCTAACTGTCCAACTTCACCGGAATCATAAAGATATGGGATAAGCAAGCCGAATACCAAAAACTGCTCATCACAATCATTGTCAAAATCGAAAAAGAAATGCAGCAACGTCGCATCTTCTGCCAGCTTTGTGCAGATCTGAAATATTTAAGTGCTTTCCATACGCTGAGAGAAAAATCGTACATTTTCTAGGTACAGCTTAGCTTTGTTTCCTTGTTCCAATTTCTCTTCTATCTATAAATAAATTAAATATTCTATAAATATACACTAAATACGTATCATGCCATACTCATAAAATAATATATTGAAGCTCATATTAAATCCACACATGATAATGTGTCAGAAGATATATCAACATTACTATTCATTATGAGCATGTTTTTTCTTTTAAATAAGATCTATTTGGTTTTACCATTATAGTGTTCAGACTAAATCATGAAGACGCAATTAAAGAGACCATTTGTCATGAATATCAAGTGTTAACCTGGTTTAGAAGTAAAACGAAATGTCTGTCCGTATTAGATGGGGCAAAATTCCTCTTTTCTGCACTTTTTCTACACCAGTCCAGTAATTTCAGCAGCGGAAGTAGCAATGGCTTGTGTACCAGCAAGCAGTGATTCTGTGTATGACTTTCTCCAACAACGATTTCATAAAGACGAATCAGATTAACCTGCGATTTAAACATCTTCATTAACATTTTGCTAAAACATACAAATACAGAACTCTCATTTGTAAAAAATTTGACAAACATAAATATTAATTGGCCCTTAGTTTTACAAATGCGAAGTGCCTTGAGACGTACATCTGAAATGAAGTCTAACCGTAAGAAAATAATTTTGACTGGACAACTGGCACTGTAAATAAATTTTAGCAAATAATTCAAAATTCAATTTTAGCAAATTTTAGTAAATGTAAATAAATTTTAGTAAAAAGTTCCAATTTTTGATCTATACGATACAGAAAAACTGTTCAATAACAAAGTTTCATTTGTACGTCATTTAAAACTGATCGGCAAAATGCCGACATGATGTCGTAACAAAAGCTAATGAACATTCCTTACAACAACATTATTCCTGCTGCAAACAATTACCACAAGACCCCCACAAGATAAACAGTACAGTCATACTGCTCCAATCCTAGATACCTTATTTCTCTTTATTTAAATCAATAATATATAGATTATACCTGACATGTTGGTGTCAAAAAAAGTGGAGCTGCAATCGCCCAGTCAACTACTCGTTCCATAATTTGGTGAGTGAAATAACGGTCCAATATAGGACCAATTGCAGATTCCGGCTGAGCATTTGCTTCCATCATTAACAACTGCACCATACAACTTAAATGTTGGAATACAGTTAATACCTGCAAAAATTGCAGAACCAGTGAGTTTTTATGACATTTACAAAGGAAAATAGTGAAGAAGTGATAAGGAGGGAAAGACATAATGTTGCAAATGAACAATTAGCTTATATTTAGGCACAGATGTTATTAATAAAGGACTCCGAAATGTTACATGAAGGACTTGTAGTTAAAGTACATTAACGCAATTCATACGCTGAAATAGTTTAACCTGATTTTATGTTGCAAATTGTACTTTAATTACTAACTTTTTCGTAGCTAACTTCTTTTTCACTTTCCAGCAACTTTTCGGCTGCTTCCCAATGTGTATCAAAACAATTCTCCCACGAGCATGGGTCAGATGCGAAATCGACATTCCAATGAATATCCGGTTTCACAATGATGAACGGTGTTGGCGGTGATGGAAGAGATGAATCAGCAAGTTGTTCCACTGATGTTGATCCAGGAGAGGCTGGAGTGGGTGATGTGACCTGTGACGTGCTAGTCAGGGAAGTTGAACCCAATTTGGAAAACCATCGTCGCATACCTACAAGAGAATTGTAACAAACATCTGTGGTTTAAACACAATGATTGTATAAACATGGAAGCGTTGAAAGTTTTGATATTTTTGAAGTTATCAAATTAGCAAATAAGGCAGTTAGAATGTATTTAACAAACAAGACCATATGATCATATGTGGTCAGTAAACAATACATGCTAATGGTCAACACAATGGCATCTATCACATTGAACGCTTCTGTGTCTAATAAAAATAAAGCGAAAACGGGCCGACCGTCAAAGAGGTTAGAAATTCCCTTCCATTTGTTTAACAAATGTTTGTTACAGTGAGCTGAATAAAATAATGGTAGGTCGTCTCTCTGCGCCTACAAAAAATAAGGAAAAAAAAATCAACGGAATATAGCTGCAACAAATGGCAGGGAATCAAGAAATCACAACTAAATATCACCGGGATGGACTTGTTTTATACTCTCTTTCTCTCAGGGTTGTGCACTTTGCGGGGATACTTTTGATTATTTACACTCTAAATTACACCAATTTAATACTAATTTAATATTTATAGTGTTTTAATACCTACTAAATTACTTTTAATTACTTATTTACACTGTACTTTTACAGTCTAAAGACTGCAAACTTGACCATCAAGCAATTTCTTGATAACATTATGATAGATTTATATTGCTATTTGGGATCTCTCTCTCTCTCTCTCTCTCTCCCTCCTTCCCTGTAGAGCATGTCTCATTCTTTGTGGTAATTTCTCAAATATTTCAATTTGTTATTTCCTATTTCTGAATTATGAGTATGCCGTAGTAGTGCATGATGGCTGACGGAAATTAGATGGCACGTGGATGAAACTTATGTGGGAGCTTTAATCGTTGAGAGTTTTGCTAATTAATAGTAATGAGCCTTTTCCGGTAAGGCAACCGGATGGACTGAAAAGATTGACTGAACAACTGGAATAGACAAAATTTTTGAGATGAAGGAAGAAATAAATACTAACTGAGAATCCAAGTACTCCACATTGTGTCGCGTCACATCAATTTGTTGATTGCGGAAGGGTGATAGATGAGTGACCTGTTGTTGTCGCTGTTACATGCAACATTCGAACATCAAAGTACTGTCTGTAAGGTTAAATTCGTAATTGTGAAAAAAGAAAACTTCACAAGAAAAAAGAAACAGAAAACTTCAATTATTCGTAATTGAAAGAGGAAAACTGTAATAAAAAAATTTCGATATCCTTTCTTTGTCTAAAATTTCGATATCCTTTCTTTCTCCTCTAAAGGATGAGAGATGACCATTTAAAAATAGAAACTGCTAATTATATTAAAAAAAAGGCGATGTAAATATAAGAGTGAAAGAATGAAAGAATGATGAATAATACTTTTTTTTTATACTGACTTCCAAAGACAATTTTTTTGTATGTTAACAATCGATATATGGAGCTGCTGAATAACATTTCAAGTGGAAATAAGGCAGCGAATATTAAGAGTGATATTTGTTGTGTCTTAATACATCGTGAAACAGGACAATATTATACTAGTCATCAAACCTTCCGGATTAGAAGTGTCACCTGGATACGTATGTAAGGATGAGGATGCAATGATGTGATTCGGGAATTGTACTACTCAAAGATTTTTTGAAAAAAATCTAAATACTGCAAGATTTTCTCCATTAATGATAGAAATCTTCGAGAAAAAGGAAGAGAAAAACAGCATGATTCAACTTTAAAAATTTCTGAAGCTATCCAAAATAGCTATAACCTTATCGATTCTTATCGACATCTACCTTATCGACATCTACTATCGCTTACGATCTTGTCTTGAACTTTTTTTTTAACGAAGATAGCTCACTTGTCTATGAAATTCAAGTTTCTCAACTGGATTGGCGTATGAATGCACCTGTCGATGAAGGCGAAAAAATGTTATGGGTTGTTTTAATTAACATTTAGAATATTTCTTAGGTAAATGATTCGTTACATAACATTAATAAAAAAAATGTTTCGATACTTAAAATGATGAATTATTGATTCAAATCCAACTCTTCCAATTTGTTAACCAATTTCAATTGCAATGCTTAGATGTTGCAGACAAAGCCTTTTGTTGTAAAGTTTTTCCAATCTGTTAATTAAACATACATGCAACTGTCGGAATGTTGTAAAGAACTTATATGCAAATGTCGAGATATTGTAAAGAACCTCTAGTAAAGCCAAGGTGTCTGGTATATTCTGGATCAGTTATCGAATCCAAAAAGCTCGAGCATTCATTCAGTCACTCAATCCGACAGCTCCCACACTCAATCTAATAACTCCCGCAGTTTCGCAATTTAATAGTTCGCTGAGTTACTCAATCGGACAGCTCAAGTAGGCATTCAAGGAGACAGCATAGTCAGGCACTCAACACCAGAGAAGTAGCAATACAACAGTTCAATAGCATTGAGCGATAAGATTGTTTGATATCCTTTAATACTTATTCTGTGTATTCATTTCGTCACTGTTATTATTTTAGTGTAACATTGTATCATACTGATAAAATCAATAAAAGTTACTATCAATGTCGCAGAGTTAAAACAACAAAAATAAACCTACAAAATCTTTCACCGGCAGCACCGATGAAAAATATCACTGCATATATACTGATCGACAGAGTACGGAAATTGCAAGCAATGCAAGCATGCATAAGAATCCCATCTAATTGTTCAACCTGATTTGTCTGGAATCAAATCTACCATTATTCGATAGATCTAGGATAAAGGTTTACCTGTTTTAGATTGTTTTCAATTTTTGGGTTAATAAAATGAGGAAGGCATAAATATTTGGAAGTGATAAAACAATGACCAAAATTGATTGTATACAATAAAATCGGCCATTATAATGATATAATTGTCACTTCGGAAAGATATGAATCCAGAATTTGATATCTTCTTGTCAAAATCAAAAAATTTATTGCTCTACCGCATACCTCAAGGTTATATACAGCTTTAAGATCGGTCGGTTAACCTTTACAGTTATCAGATCATTATCAATTCATTTCAACTTTTTCAAATCTGCGACACGTACGTGGATCTCAATTCAATTCTGTTTTTATTTTAATTAGTCCGAGTGATGCATTAGTCTGTTTCTGCGTATGTCTGTGTTTATTTCAATCTTAATAAATAGACAGTGGCTCCAGTTCCACAAAACGATCAATTTGTCTGCTTTTTTAAAACAAGAATAAAAATGTCACATGTGTTGAGAAGTTGTCGATTGAAAAAGTAAATGGAAGTCAGTCACTTATTTTGTCCTTCCCATTAAAAGCTTACTCATTTAAATACTTTACTAATGAAATTTGCAAATTAATTGACTAAACAGATGTCTACAAAGTGCACGTCTGATTTGAAATTATTGGCATATTTTCAACTTTGCTTCAAATCGATATTCATCATAATTTTACATCTTTTTATAGAAAAAGAAAAAAAAGAAGCATTGAACCGTCTCTGTATAACCCCGCGGTACTGTATGCTAAGCATTGAGCTTAGCATACAGTACCGCGGGGTTATACAGTATGGGGAAGGAAATTCAAATGCAGTATTGCCGTGCGGATGTAGCATGCAGTGTAGAGTACGGTACGATGCAGCAAAGTACGACCCAGATGTCACTATAAATACAGTACTCTATGAACTAAACATTTACTAAATCTTACTCTCGCTACTCTTCTGATGTAAATATTTTTCGAACTTGTAATCAGAAACAAATGGATCGGAAATTTTTCCATGGTGGGTTTCAACGATAGGCCAAAGATCAAAATTTATAAGTTTTTTAGCAATTGATTCCAATACAAGTTATTTGTAATATAATTTCATTATCTGCACATTTCCATTCGAATTACAATTTCATTAATGAAATTAAACGCTATTTATTGAAAGATTTCAAGATCTTTAAAGATGAATTACAACTTCCTCCGATACATACCTAACGTAATTATTATCCATACTGATAAAACGGATTCATTTTCAAAATTCATTAATTGCAATCGGGAATGTCCAATCTATGTTACAAATTATCGGCATGTTAAATAATCTTATCAATATTCCGATAAGATTTGCCAGAAAGTTTGCAAGGAAACAGTTTCATTCGAATGACCATTTATGAAGAAGAGTAAAATTAGATCAGAACTGAAGATTTTCGAATTGATTACTTGACCTATGTTCTTGACCTGTTATCTGATTAAAATAACTGCAAGGAAAGAAGTTAGCCAATCGTAGTGATAAATCAAAAAGATAAGTAGCAGTTGCAGGCATCATCAACTTTCATTTATTCCTCCTTTAATGCTTCTCCAACTCCTTACTTATGGACACGTGAATTTCAAAAGAAATCCATCTCAATGTTGAGTTAGTTTAAACTTGTAAAAAAAAGAAAGAGCTAGAAGTTCACAATGGAATAATGGAAATTATGGCAATTTAATGCACATAGATATCCATTTGGAATTGGTACAATGAATTTCAGGAAACCTGAAAATACCACGATAGAATAATTTCTGCTCAATTCCGAAAGCAATTCCCTGCTTCTAGTGAATTTTTTACATCCTTTCGTATGATGATAATATTACAAGTTACCGTTTTAAAACTGCCCGGAGAGAAGAAACAATAACAGACAACTTGTCATAGCATTCGCAATTAATTTAAAAAAACAAATTGTCATCAGGAGCTATATAAAAAATGTTTTATTGCAGTGTGTTAACTGTAATGATAATATTCAAGAATTAAGAAATTCCGAATTCAAAATTCCAGCATTGAAAATTAACCCACTCACGTTGATGTTATAACTGACGGAGTTTATTTTAAAAAAATGAGCATCATAAGCTTCATAGAATGGGGGCTCGAAAATTGGAAACGATAATATTAACTGATCCCCGAATCTCTTTCATATTTCATCGTTTCAGACTAGTCTACTATTATAAGAGCTTCAATAAATAGCCCAAAAATTGTGTCCTGCTCACTTGACCCAATCGATTTCTACTCTTCCTACTTCTACCATTTCCTTTACATCTATTCTTAATTTATTTTGTTAACAAACTTTTCCTCAAAATGCATCATTTAGCTTATATCTTAATGGTTAATAATTTGTCAAATCACTTATTTCAACAAAATAAAAATGAAATTAATTTCTAAAAAAATATTATCAGTATATAACTTCCCAATTGCAAAAATTTAAGATGAATTAATGATTTATAGCTTTTAACTGCCGTCTTTCTCATCATAATGAAACATACATAAAAATAAGAAATCATGCCAGAAGCATTTCCCATTTTTTTAACCTTTGAACTTTAGTAGATGAGTAAGATCAAAATCGATGAGAAAAAGCCATCTAACCAAGTTAAACAACTAAGCAGTTCATTTTCATATATGATTTAAGAACCTTAAAATGAGTTTACAATTATCTGTTTCCTAAATATCACGCAAAAGATTCATTGATGAAATAATATTAGTGCAGTAATTACCACTAAAGATAATTAAAACCTTTGATGATTTAAGAATAGTTAATAGCATTTTGAAGCTGATAAATGAATCATAACAATATGACTAAAAATAAAAGTGCAAATCTGTGTTGACATTTTAATCCAGTATCCTGAAAAAATGGTTAAGTAATCGCTCATTGAACAACACAACAACCAACACATATACAAACACACACATACATACAAATACATAAACAGACACACACACACACACACACACACACACAGACACACACACATACATACACATACTCATAAAACCATGTGATCACATTTATGAACCAGCTTGTAAACGGCGTAATCAAGTAGTAGTCCGGTTTAATAATAAATTAGGACAGAATATTCCTGCAACTTATCTGGTTCATAAATAAATAAATAAATAGCCAGCTAAACATGCTACCATGTTTCGAAATATCTCAATTGAGATTTTTACAAATTCCGGATCACATCATTCTAAATTCGTATTTTAGACTAATTTGGCTTAAAGTTTCACATAGCCTAATTCAATCTTTAACAATTAGATGGATATTGTAATTAAATAACATTTGCAAACAGATTCATATTCTAACAGTATGGAACTGATTAAAGTTTGTGAGTATATCTGTATCTTATCAGTGATTTCCTTTGTTTGTTAACTTGAATTAGTCATGATTGTTTGTTATAGTTTGATGATACTTCTCTACTAGTTAGAAGCAGAGTAGACTTCAGTGATCGTATGGGCTTGGACAAAATCGAACAATTTTGAACAAAATTATTCAAAATCAACGAACTAACACAAAGTTCAATTTCCTATAGTTTCATTCCAACATATAAATTATTGATCTTAAATTCACCATATTAAAATAAGCTACAAATGGTAACAGTGAGGAGTTGGGGTTGACATCATTCAATATTGCCGTCACTAACTGAATGGAGATGCGAGGAAGGCAGTTCGTATCGCTGTCTGCCTCCCCTCACTTGATATACTCTCTTATGCGTCCTTTCTTGTATCGGTAGCTGTTAAGTATTCGATTTCGAACCACTCGGAGTTTGATGTGTCGTGGAATGATATCTCTCAGTGTAGATGCTCATAAACTTACCTGGCTGGGAGGATCTCGCGATCACGAAGGCGGGACCTCCATGGTGAGGCTTGGCCATTGCACTTCTCGGTCCGGCTGACCCGTGTGGCTATCCCGAGTTGGGGTCAGCCAACAGCAAAATTTTTGCGTTTGGGGACAGCGTTCGCGCTTCCCCGCTTGTAAATAACAAAGTAGGGGAGCTACTGGCATGGGGAGGGCTGGCAGTAGGGGTACAGCTATGTTTGCGTTCTGAAGCATGCAGACTAGATGCACGGCAAATTGATAGATGGCATATGAGTTGTTCGTGTCCCCAATTGCGTGGGGAGCCACGTAAAACGGATGAAGAAAACAGAGAAAATTCCAGATCTCATGCTATAATTCGTGGGTGAATCTGTAGATCATCATCATCATCATCATCATCATTATCATCATCAGTCATCATCATCAATCATGATCATCAATCATCATCATCATCAATCATCATCATCATCACCATCACTTCTATCTTTTCAAGTTCACTGGACAAGTGCAACTTACGATTATCATAATCTTCACCATAGATCTGCTCCCCATAGATGAGCAACATGTGTCCTGGCTAGCAAAAGAACTGTTTTGTCACTATGCCACAATTTGTCCTATTTGTATTTAAACAGTCTTTTTTACCAAACGCATTATGTACGTATAAAATCATCCAACCAAATCAAGACGTAGACAATCCAAATGAGGGACATTTATGATCTCAAGCAGGAATCTCAGATCTATGAATGAACATTTCTCCCGCTTTCCTTTCGGTATCATTTTGGGATTCTGCTCAGACCGCACTTGTTACAAGAAACTCTGACAGTAAATAAGAATCATGTTAAACCTTGAAGCAATGGGTTCTAGTACTTTTAGATTTTCAACCTCGTATCACATTTGACGCAGGATTACTTAGGAATTTGCAAGTTAATGAATAAGTCTACTTCTTCAGGCTTCACTGGGAAGAGTTAGCAGCCTAAACCTAGGTAGCTAACTCATCCACGACTTCCAAGATTGCTTAACCTTAGTTGCAAACTTTTCTAACGTATCGTTCCATTTCTTGATGTTATTGACACAACATTCTACCCTACGCCACAGCATTATTTGCCGACACTACCACCCTCCACCTGAACAACCGTCTAAGTCCCCCACACCCCACATTAGCGCTCCACTGGACCGAATCACATCACAACCACAGGGAAGCGCGAACGCTTTCCCCAAACGCAAAAATTAAGCTGCTGGCCAATCCCGACTTGGGATTGCCACACGGGTCAACCCGATCGAGAAGTGCAGTGACCGGGCCTCGCCATGGAGGTCCCGCCTTCATGATCGCGAGAGGCCTCTCAGCAAGGTTAGTTTAAGCACTCTTGCTGGCACCCATTCGAGGACGCCATGCATCGAACTTCGAGTGGGTTCCTCTGTGCAATTCGACGACCCCTCCCCTTCTTTCTATCTCTGTTACATATGTAATTACCAAGACACCTCCATATTCTGCGTAGTCTTTTCGTGTTAAGCTGTAGATCCATTTTTCGATTCCCAAACTTTATGCTAATTTATTTGAACATTTGTGTAAATTGGTAGCAAGATAAAGCTGTGCTTTGAAGAATTCAGCTCACTACCTGGATTGAGGAACAAAGCACAAAATTTGATCTTTTCTAGGAAAAGCCCAAGTATTTCCTGTTGAAACAACTTCATTTAAATTGTGAAGATAGGAGATGAAGAATAAATTATTCTTTTCAAAAGTTTCAAATATGATGGGTAGGGTGACAGAGAAGAATTAGAAGCAAGTTTCTGATCTCCTACTACTAATATATCCTATTAATATCCATAATGACAGGTTCAACGCGCTTTTTAAAAAACCGTTTGTAATGGACAAGCTTCGAAAGTTACTAAATTTCAAACATAATCGCCCTCAACTAACCGGGCTACAGTCGAGCAAAGAATTAAGTAGTGTTTATTGAGACAATCGAAAGCAGTCTGCAGTTCGACGATCCTGAAAATTATGCTTTTACCATCACTGGAGACCTTCTGCCAACACAAGGATTATAGGCGGATAGTTACATGATTGGATGAGAGATTTGATGAGATTTATTCTTCAAAAAACGGGGAAAAGCGATTTCGCTACGATATGGGAGTCAATGAACATCAAGACATCCTTCTTCATTAATACATTAAGAACTGCCAAGCAATTAAAATCTGCTCAGTTCCGGAAGTTCGTATCATTGCTCAATTCCTCTCATTGAGGATGCAGTTCGGCTTCCTCAGAGAACGTCCATTCTCTTTGTCCACAAATTTTCATTTCTGAAGATGAAACATGTGGACAAACACAGTTGATATGATCAGGAAAAAGTGTGAAATGTCCATTAACAACTAACAACGGTAATGTGTTTTGCTTTTGACAAACGCGATTTTCAAAGGAAAATTTTCCGCTTTGCTGACATTCGTGTGATTCATTCTGCATTCATCTTCTTCGTAACTTTTTGGCTGTAATATTTGGATGGCAAGTTTAAAATATGGCAAATCTGGATAATTTATTCTTCCACAGCAATATTAAACAATGGTGAAAAATAAAAAGACAGCATATGAAAACTAACAAATCAATGGTTTATGATGATTTATGCGGAATTCGGCTTCATACGCTCAGCTCCTGCTCTTCGAATCAATACTGTATGGAAAGATGGAGTGAGGGGAAAAACGAAATCGTGCTGTGAAACAACTGAAGTACAAAGCAGTATCGAGATTTATAACGAATATTCTTTAATTTGTTCTTTCCATCATAAATTGTTCTTTTTTTCATTTCATTCTTTCAAGCTTTTCAGTTTTGTTCCATATTCAGTTTTCTTCATCAATATTTAGAAGACGCTATCAGCAAAAGAAAATACTCAGTCGGATATTTTCAATGTTCGACACCTCGCATTTTAAACGTCCAAAAAGCAAACTAACCACGATTAACTAACCAGCAAAACTCGAGATCGGAATTTATTTCCACAGCAAGAGAATAAATAGCAACAAGCACCCTCTATCACATTCACATTAATGTTAATTATTCGAGTTTCGAAAACAAAAAAAAAACTTTTCCCCATGTTCCACTTTTTCACCAAAAACACTAGAATTACGAGGATGCTCAAAAATCAGATCATAGCTCACGTCAAAAACGCAAAGTCAAACCAATAAATTTTCCTTCTTTTTACAAGCTTATTTATGGAAGGAAGCAATTCACAAGTATATAAACCAAAACAAGATTCTAAATTTAAAACAGTGAAAAGTGACATATAACCCTTTGCATTATTGCCATTAAAAATTCTCTTTAGGACCAGGTTATGCAAGCTGAAAGTAAAAGGGTTCGGAAAAAATAAAGCTGTTGAAAGCACAAATCATTATTTTTTCCTAAACATTAATTAAGGCTCTCTGTCAAGGGCATCAAAAAGAATTTCAAACATTATCTTTGAACAACCACATGTTATTCGTCAAGTGACTTTTAGCTGTATGTATTTTCTAACCGGATTTTTTTGAAAGATGAAACTATCACGTGTTCACACTACTGAAAGATAATCAAACAATTCAACAGTGATTAAAAACAACGAAGCTGACAAAGGCGAGTTTAAATTAAGCACCTAAATTTAAATGCAAGAAAAAATAGTAACAGATTATCCTTATATTATTCGTCGAGTGCATTAATAATTCGAATCCGAGCTTTCTTCGAAATATGTGTCGCTACATTCAATAGTGTTGTAATTTGATTCGTCGTGTATTCCTACAAAAAAATTAGCTGCAGCAATCAAATCGAAATTGAATCTAACATACTCATAGTGATTCAGTCAAGTTTTCGGAGCAGAAACTTACCGAAGCACTGGTATAAAAATTTACTGGTTTTTCAGTGTTTCCACCCTCTCAGTAAGGAGTTAATTTCAACTATGTTCGAGAATATTATTTTATATTCACTGCGATGAAAAAAGGAACAGTTTAGAACGCATCATCAAACTGAATTTCTGCTATGTCAGAATTACTTCCAACACGAAAAAAATTCGACTTCGAAAATTCGATTTTAATTTTCAAACCTATTACGAAATTTCTGAATCAGCAATGAATATTACTTACTCTGTGTTGCAGAACCCATGATTCCATCGAACTTTCAGGTAAATAATAAGCTTTGATGTAATTTTCAACATATGCTTTGTGTGGGATGGGCATAAAATCGACAAGTTGTTCGAGTTTTGCAATTAACTGTTGAAAATCTAACTGCATTAATGCACGTCCTTCATTCGAGCATTTCTTCCCAAATTCTCCATAGCTTCAAACAGAAAACATTGTACAAAGAAAATCTCAATTCTCTTAATACTGAAGATGACGAAGTTTCACTCAATACACTTTTTCTTGTGACAAGAATAAAGAAAAACTGTATAAACTTTAGGCCAAATTTGAAATGTGGGAAGAAATATACCCTTTGACAAGTGCATTAAATGTACAGTATATAACTGTGCTCCAAAATGTTTTTTGGACGGGTTTTGTAATTGGTATTTGTTCTGCGATTTCCGAAAGCAAATCTTTAATTCTTGCAAACTCCTGCAATGCATGTAATGCGAGAAATCATAAGAACAGCTAAGCTTTACCATAATTCCTATTGATAGATGTGAAGTTGCAAATTGGTGAAGTGTTTCACATAATTTTACTTGTATCATGAAAGTTAGACTGATAAGGAAGCAGCGAATAGAATCAAAGAGACAAAACGAATTTGGCTAAAATGTACAGGTACGCATTACAAGATGAGATCAAAGTACCAACAGTTAGTATGACAGTGCAATTTTTAAACATCTACTTGCAGAACGTTGCATCTTAGGGAAACTAGAGGATATAAAAACCTGAAGAATGCAGCTAAATAACGATTTGAATAATGCTATATATCCCTGTTTAGGAAATAAAATCAATGTGAAATCGATGAAACGAAAAGGACAAACCTGTAAAATATTATCAACATAGGAACTATGCTGCGACTGGAGTTGATCAATGTCCCATTTCGTTGTCATTATATCATTCACAAACCAGTCATAATCGATTAAACGGCTTATTGCACAAGCATAAATACATTCTCGCATTTGTGGTATCACAGTCAGGATCTGAACTCTTGACTTGGAAAAAAAAGAAAAGAAAACTAATACGCTGAGCATATCAGAAACATAATTACACAGTTATATCAAGAATGTAATACAAGATGCATCAAAAAGTATAGCGTAGTAAAGTATACCTCTGTATAGTACTTCTCGATGACATCACAATTAACCAGCGATTCGATGACTGGATGCATGAGATCAAGTTGTTTACAAATAAAATTTCTGAAAATTTTCAAAAATTGGATTTAACAGAGAATAACTAGCTGCTAAAAACTGTTAAAAAATAATATTACTTACACAGATTCAGCACCAACAATGCGTTCACGTAAGGCATAAGTAGGTCCCAAACCAAGCTTAACATCTTGTAATAATGTACATGGAAAACATTTAAATTTCTGAAAAAATTATACGGTTCCAGACAAAAAAGTAAACATGACAATCCATGTATATTTGTCGATTTTTGTGAGCTCCAATATTCAAAAACGAAATTATCCAGGAAGTACCAAAGCATCAAAGGAATTGAACAGTACCAAAGCAAAAAATTAAGCATGAATGTAAGAGACAAACTGCCTACTAATACACATCCAAAAAAAAATGGCAATTTGATAAACGGAAATCCAACTCACGCTTGCACCTTTTGAAGGTGAATCATCACTGAATAAGTCATTTTCTAAATTGTCCATAACATTTTTTAAGTTGGAAGAGAAAAAAGAATCGGCAACATTATGCGCGTTTGATACGAAAAACGAATATACCTGGAAAAAACATGAAGTTAATAGCTGGAATTCTGATGAAGCGAAATCTGTTGGTAATCAGGTCATAATGAATAAAGTTAAACTTAAAAAAGTTATTACTGCAAAGAAAAAGTAGCTGCAGAGTTCAAAAATAGCATTTACAGCTTGATCAGCAACTGAGTGAAGCATATGCGTCATCCGAATGTACTTTCCTAAATGACGAATAACAGACATGAACAAAGACAAGTTTCAGATAAAGCAATAACAGCAGAGAAAAAAAAATGAATGAGAATGAAATTGAGTAAGAAAAACAAACCAATAAAGCGCAAGAGATTCAAAGATGTGTTACAAAGAATCGGAGCCAGCTGTGAGAAACTATCATCCACGTGATACCTATGAATGAAATAAAATGCTATCAGGAATTCTAAAGTAAAAACGTTTTCTTAATATCAAAAGTGACTGGAAAATCCTTCATTAAAAAAAAGTTAATAAATGAAAGCACTGAAAATCAAGTTCCGTGCAATGGCTTTTTCAATTGGTCTATGGTAGAGAATTTCCAGCAGCAGCACTAACAATTTATACCATTAAAGTTTTGTCTACATGTTTATTCGTAATCATTTTCAATTACTTTGAAAACGTATCTCTTCACATCTACGAAAAATAGAGAAAAGGGAACTTGAAAGAGTAGAAACTCCCAGAAGTAGAAGACTTCACTTTTTCAAGTCTTACGAGGACTGTAAAAATGAAAAATTTGCCTGTCATTATCCGTATCATCGTCCGACGAATTCTTGGTACTTGCAATAATAGCGATATCTACATCCTGAAGGTATAAGTTTAAAACATAAGGAACATGCAATAGCTTCCTAGTTATTAACAGCAATATAATGCAAAGAAAAACTGGCTTTAGCAGACGAATCCATTTCTGTAGCTCCCACCATGAAAGGATTTACATCGGTCGGCTGAAGAATTTGAAAGTCCAAGGGTTCAGTCAAATCAAGATCAATTTCGTTACGTACAGAAGAATCCAGTCTTCCTCGATATTCATCCGATTCTTTCAAGAAACTGAACTCCTTAAAACTAGAAATACATAAACTTTGAAATTTTGCGCTACTATTTACATTTCGACAGTGATTCTTAAGAGCATAGTAAAGATCCATAATTTAAAATTTCTATGTGCAGATGGGCTAATATTGCTTAATGCTATTGTGCACTTGTATTCATTATACCAAATTATCTGGATGCAAATATCCACTAATTTAAAAATTGCATACAAAATATAACCTTTGAAATGAAAAGTAATGCGACATTAAATATTTCACCTGCAAATCGAACAAAGTGAATTGCAATGGCACCGGACATAAAGCAAAAGCTTCGTTTTCCAGAAACATACGTAGCTCATCAATTCGTTCACAATGGAATCTAAATGAAAAACAAATAAAATTGATCGGCTAAATTACAGTTCTATAACAAACCTCTTGAAGTATTGATGACTTTGCTTTTCTAGTGACATCGTAACTTCACCACAAATATTGCCAAAATAAGTGCGGCCAAACTGCTTGAATCTTGAAATTTGTAAAACAATGCACACATTATAGGTAAACAAGTAAGTTCGCATGATATCGTTAAATCATTGAAATCAAAACCTACATACAACAATATTAACAGAATTTTGAAAACATAAAGTTCCAGATATTTGCAAAAAAAAATGTAAAAACAATAACTTGAACTAACCGGTTTGACATTCCAATAATATCCAAAAACTGATCGATTTTTAAAAGCGAGAGATCATGGCAATATAACAAAGTGGTGAATTTTATTGATGCAGTCTTGAAAATAGAATGTAAAGAATCCACGAGAATTTTACGAACAACGCCCACATTTTCTAAAATTTATCTAGCATGGAAACAAGATTTAATTAGGAGAAGTTATCAGCCAATACCTGCAACCACAAAGATAGTGATAAAACTGCTTCAACCAGCGAACGATTATCTATCAGTTAAATAGTTCGAAAAATATAGCTAGGAAACATTAGGATCTGAATCGATACCAAATGAACAACCAACCGCATTTTTCGTGTGCACATGCCAACCTTTCATCTTCATCTATATGAAAAAGCAAAATCGAATGATATGTGAACAATACTTTACAAATAACAAATCCCAATTCACGCACACAGTCTAATATCTGCCCCATGTCCACAGTCTGCAAGAAATCCACATAAAATCAATAAAATTATAAGAAAATTAATAAAGTTTTGCCATCAAATTGATCAAGACAAACCTCACAAAGCTGCTCATATGATAATTCATCAATTTTTGCGTCAGTTTTAATTGACAATACCTTATCAATGATAACCGTTCTCGCCGAACTTTCCAAAGTTGCACGAGTAAAGTCAACTACTTTCATCGCGCATTCCTTAAAATGATCATTAACATAAAAATCAATTTAACGAAAGCAATCTGTAGCATTTCGGCGCATCCGTGAGTTCGATATGCTAAAACTATGTTACATTTTATTACTTTACATGCTACCTATGCAACGAACTTCCCAAAGTTGCACCCGTAAAATCTCACTTGGCATATACTGTTTAAAGTTTAAAAAAGCACATAAAAATAAGAAGGACATCCATTACCTCAACTTTGCCTAACAGCTTGTAAGCAGTATAAATCGATGAGTAACGATCAACACTGAATAAAATCGTCATTGACGCCAAACAATTGTCCAAATTTATTTCGATGTCTTCTAGAGTCTCATATAACTTTGCTGATAATTCTCTATAAAAAATTCCTGTCTAAAAAATTAAATTCAAGAAGAATACATAAGGTCTGGTGGAAAATTAAAAAAAAAAAACTGTTAAGCATCGCTTTGAAGCTTATTAAGGCATTTGACGTAAAAACGCCTAGTCTTAAAATAAAAATTTCAATCTGCTTTCGAAAATAAGAAAGCTTCATCAAGAAACCGAAATTTTTTTCCAGAAAGGAAAATTTTCAAATCCCGATTTCGAAGCAACTCTGCACTCTCAATTTTCTTTTCAGAGGTGAATTTACACCTGGAACTGGAATCTGGATTTGCACCTCATTTAATGTTTTTGTTTTAAGTGATATGATCAAAAATTAAAATATTCGATTTCTGTGAACTACATTTATTCCGAAAAGTGATAAGAGATGATCAGTATAAGACACACCACAAAGAATTATTATTCTTTGTTCTTAAAACTAAACAAAAATTATTACTTGACGCAATTGAACCGGCTAAAAGTTATTGTAGCTTTCTGTGCTTCATAACACATATTAATAGCTGCAGGAAAATTTTCTTCCTGAAAGCAACTAGAGGAAAAAAATACAACAGATTCCTGTTAATAGTTATCTATCCTTGAATTGAAAACGACTGCACGAATAACAGTGATATGAAGCTGTACAAAAATAAGAACAACACCATCAGACCTGGACAAGATCTTTAATCTGGAACTGCACTTCATATAATGTTTTAATGCCTTCGAGGGACGACAGCAACTTCTTTAGAAATATTCGATTTCTATAATTTGCGATTATTTCCAGACCATTTTGATTTTCGAGTCTCGCTTGACCAAGTTTCCTGCGATAAAAATAAGAATAAACATTTTATTCAAAGAGCAGGCATAACTTACAAACGAAAATCTACAACTGTAATAGATCAGACTTCTTGAATTTCCACTTTATTAGGAAAATATGCTCATATAGAATAAAGATATATAACATTGTATAAAAAACATTGTATAAAGATGATATCAAAATATCATGATCAAATTACCAGTGCATCACTTTTCCAGTACTAAATGACTGCAAAGACGATTCATTATTGCCAAGCAAACGACACATTCTAGGAAGTGAAATTGGCTGGCAAGGAATACAACATGGATTATGCAAGGAAAAATGACTCCAAATAAATAAATTACAAGATCATTTATATAAAATAAAACTAACTTTCGCATGTTCTTCATTACCGAAAGAATACTATCTAGGTCTTTTTGGATTTCGCCGATATCTTTCAGCTGGGATGAATAAGATGGCCAGTCCTGCATAATCATTGCGGACACTCGTTTAGAAACAACTTGTAATTGTTGTTTTAATTTGTCCATTTCTCCTGTTAGATCTTCTGGTAAAATATCCCTATCCATGACTTTCTAAATTATGTAATTATTGAGAGGAAAAAAATCTGGCAGTAGAAATTTGGAAATTGCAGAACCTCTATTTATCCAAACTTATAATCCAAAAATTTTTCGTAAAATTTACTTTAAGTTCATAGTCAGTTGCATCGAATCCTTCGTCAATGAAATATGCTGCTTCAATACTTTCCAATATTTCCGCTTCTTTAACCGAATCTGTGATTGGTAAAGCACGAGTTTGTAACTGCAAATTAATTTAAAAATAAAGCGGATTCATCACGCACAGCAGTTGAAATGTAAAACAAAAAAAATCATACAATCGTAGATTTAGTCGGCCCGCGACCAGAAGAGTCTCGCACCACGACTATATTGTCCATTGAATCCATCTGAAAGTATTAAAACCAATTTGTTAAATTTATCATGAAGATTCGCCGACACTGTAGTGATTTTACAAGGACATAATGGTAAGGAGTTCATTCATGCCGACGCTGTATCTTTCCATTCAATTTATGTTAACTTACCGGAAACTATTATAGATTACCAGAACTATTATAGAAAGGATCTGTATCAGATGGAAAACGATAAAATTTTCGAAAATACAAATTTGAAAAAGAACTGAGTTGAAATATTGCTAACAGCAAATGATTAGCGAAAGCAATACTTGGTAATTCCATCAGACAGTAGAAGCTCTGTTTCTGAAATTAAAGAATTCTGTCGAAGTGAAACTTAAAAGCATACATCAGTCACTGCAACTTCATCCTCTTCATTTCGGCCAAATTGTATTGACTTCGACTTTTTCATCTTCAGTTTCTTCAATGACTGCTTCGATCGACCAATTTTAAATAATCATAGCAATAACTTTCCAAGCGCTAACTGTTTTGATATCATATGGTTTCCCTTCAAAACAATCACTCTAATTTACAATTGAAAAAACACAAGATTCGTGGTTGAATCCACTAATTAATGCAGATTCATACAACACAGGAACAATTTACCCAGCCTTTTGTCTTGCAGCGTATCAAATCACATGGTGCAGTTATCAGCAGCATCCTAAACCACATTCCATTGGAGAAGGCAAAGGACGTCGACGGTTAACAGATTGGAGTAAAAGTTCTATGTTTTCAGAGTTTCAAAAATTCAAACAATAATGAAAGGAAGCGAAGTACTGCATAATAATGGAAAGGAACTAGTAAAAATATAAAACATATATTCTCACACCAAAATTAAGCATATGTTTTGTCTCGAGATATTAAAATATTGTCATGACAACGTCATAATATGATAATACCTGAAATTATACTAACACCACTAATAAAAGTGATTAAGGTGTAATAAATGCAGCAAGAGAGTTTATTTAAATAATACTTGACCTTAAAACAAGCAACTTACAAAAGTCATTATAAAGTGCTCGATGATGAGATTATATTAGCTCCTGATTCGAAAATGACCTGTTTACTTCGATACATGCAGACCTAAACAAGCATATATATTACTACAGGAACTTGTAACAAAAGAAAAATAAGAGTATGACGTTGTTAGTAAAGACAACAACGACGATAGCGGTAACCATGATGGTAATAACAATGCAGCAAGTTATGAATGGAAAAATTAAGCCTAGTTTCATTTCTGAAATGGTTTGTTTACTAATCAATCACTTTCCAAGCTATACACTTTTTAATTAATCAATAACTGATCATATCGTAACAACATTTTAAGCTGTTCTTATCAACTTATGAATATCAACTCAGTCCTCCACATATTGCTCCGCGCAAACTGTCACATTAATTATTCCTACCAACCCATCCTTTGATGTACATCGAACCACCACCATACGAGTGACACTGATAATGGTCGCATCTCCATAGTATGCAACAAAACGTGAAATAGGAATTTTGTTATTCGCTAGCTAAGCATTGCAACCGCAGCCTTTTCTTTCTTTCTTTCGCCAGCTTTTTTTCTCTCTTTTTTTTTCTTTCTCCCTCTCTTCTTTCTTTCAGAAAGCAGAAGAATTTGCTTGCTAGACGACCGGTCACTCAATACTGGTTATATTTCCATTTGGGCCATGCACGCATGCAACATAAAGTAGCATATTCGAATTTGTGATATCAATCATGCAGTAATTTCAGAATTACTTTATAATAACCAGTCATATGGACAACTATATCAAAGTTAGCGAAGTAAACGTGCCATGTTTATCACCTTTTCCGACTGAATTAACTAGTGGTACGAAAGAAATGGTAGTGAAGGAAAATACTAAATTCAAAAAAT